CTCTGCCTAGCCACCATATTCATAAACCCACAGTGACTGATAGCTCATCTCCACATAGGGCGGTGACACAGTCTGTCTCATTGGACACTGGTAGCAGCAACTTGGCCATGCCTCAATGCAGTGCTCCAGAACACAGAACTGTTCTACATTCTGTATCTCTTGATAGTGATAGTAAAGATTATGATCCAAGTGTACTGTTGTTTACACCGGCTCAGTCCGTTCAAATTGCTGTTCATAAGGCAGCCATCAATAAACAGCTGTCCCGTGAAGAAGAGAAACGACAAAAAGTTAATGCTCCATCTTTTCACAACGCTTACAACAGTGAAGATGATGACAGTAGTGAGGTGGATGCATCAAGTGAGGATGAAGGCAGTCCTGAAACAGATGAGGAGGAGGAGGAAGATAACACTTCAACTATTCGCCAAGCTGCTGTTCATGAAAAGCACGAAAATGAGATCAGTAGTAATCATTATCATAGTGTGAAGGCTGAAGATGACGGACATTCCCAAACAGGTATGAAATGTGCACAAACCACAGCATTAAATAGCTGTAATTCAAAGCAGAAAGTTGGGGAACTGGAGTCTTGGCAGGCCAGTACTGATGTTAGTGGAAACAATGAGAGAAATGATGCAGGTAAAATTCCAGATACAAGTCAGAATACATGGAGTACTGGTGAAGACTGGAATCGAAGCACTGCTAAACCTAATCAAATTCTGCAAACTGTGCAAAATACTAATCACACAATTCAAAATCCACTACAAAATGTTTGCAAAATTCCAGATAATACTGAAACAGATACAAGCAACATGAATACTTGTATCACCGTATCATCAGCACAAAGACTGCTACAGATGGCTACCAAAGACACAAAGGCAGTTGTCAGTAGATCACATGGGCGCTCTGATCGTAAAGTCAAGATGAAACGTGCTAATACTATTGACATTCCAAAACCACTCAATTTCTATGAAATTGAAGATGAAACTGATTATTCTTCAGGGGAAGAATATGAAGGAGAAAAGAATATCAATTGTGGGACATGTTCAACCAGTGACCAGCACCGAGCTGCATATCTTGCTCTTCGTGGTCCAATCAGAGTAGGTGGTGGAAATAATGTCCTTGGAGACAAGGTTCCGCCACCAGCCTTTCAGCCAAAGACTGACAGTGATCGTAAATTTTTGGCTTTCCTCCAGCAGCATAGTGATGGTAAGGGAAGTGTGTGGAAGGGAGAAGGGGGAATAGCCAAAACCACCAGCTACAATCCTTCTGCTCGGGGCGGTCATCACTGGAGCAGCCGCTTCACAAACATTAAAACGGCATTTGAAACATCTGTGGGGAAGGATGGAGGTGATCATGGAAGAGTAAGAAATTTGGTATCATCAGGTCCAGCAGCTGCAAGGATGTTCTGGCAGTCAGCTGATGATTCAGTCACAGTCATGAAGAGTGCAGCCACAAGTGGCCCAAAACTTACTCGGCAAGGGAGCAATTTCTTGAGGAAGTTGTTCGAACAAAAAGAACAGGAGCAACAGAGCAAACTTCCATGGACTGAGAAAAATGTGGTTTCCGATGATTCAGTGGTGGTTGGGTCACTTACAGTGGCATCTAGCACCGGATCTGTCCTCTCTAAGAAGCAGCTGTTCACTCCACCACAGTCCCCTGCCACAGTCAGTGCTCCTGTTAATATAAATAAATTCTCTCATGCTCCCATGTCGGCCTTCCGACCTATCGATAAGAAGCAAAAATTGGACACAGTAAATCAGTCTGTCAATACAAATATCAGACAGTTGCCAACTCAGAAGTTTACTACTACTCCTTATCTGAGTAAGCAAAGGACAGGTTTTACCCATCAGACAAAACAGGAATTACTGTCTCCAGTGAGCCCAACTCTTCCATGGACCAGAGAAGGCATCCAACAGGAGCACCGCGTCCTTAACTCAACTGTAGTGAAATTTGAAAACATCTCTAGAGAAACATCACCTCAACCGTCTCCACTTCCATTACCTCGAAGTCAGAGCCAAGAAAAAATTGCTGTGTCAGGAAATCTGAGCGTATTTGTTCAACAGAATGCCACTGTTCCAGCTCCTAAAAGTTATGTTTCTCCTTCACACACTCCTGGTTCTGTGCAAGGACGTTATCAAGAGAAATGGAATGTAGACCTGTCTTCAAACAGCCCAAAACAACCTCTTCATATTCCAACACCACCAATGCTCACGGCTCCGCATCTCATTCAGAATTATGATACTAGTCAGCAGCATTATCATAAAGATCACGAATGTCAAGATGGAATCCATCCTATTGAACAAAATTTACAGGATAAGACATTAGAAGTGATACCTCAATATTGTACAAAAAGCTACACTACTGAAATTGATTATGGGAACCAAGAAATCTGTGAGCTTCCAGATGTTAGTCCTGTTCCTCAGACCTACAGCGGAAGTGTCGTATCAAAGTCTTTGGCATATCCACAAAGTGTGAATGTGTTCACGCTCAACTCAGCTGTGCAGCAACCAGACTTGGATTCAGTAGAATCTCCTGATGATTCGCTTCCTTCACCAGAAGCATTTACGGCTGTATCCCGTGTCATGGCAGGTCCCACATCCCACCAGGCAGTTACTGTAACCCAGAGAACAAGACATCGATTTGATGAGATGGATGAAGCCAACGGACGAAGTTCTGCTGCGAAGAACCTTAGTTCTGTTCTTATAAAATTTTCATCTGCTGGTGAAAATAGGAACTTGCAAAGCACATCAAAGCAATCAAGCAGTAAATCTCCTACACTTGCTTTAAACAGAAAGAGTGAGGATGATGAAGTACATATAAATAAAGAAGACTTTACAGTTAATTCATCAAAGAAGTCTCCCACCATTGATAGGTTAAGGCAGGATGCTAGAGAATCGAAGCAGCATCATTTGCTTTCAAAACAGTCACTGAAAGAAATTAAATCTCCAACAAGTCCTATTATTAGGCATCACAGTGAACCAGATATTACATCCATGATAAGTGATGAACAGTTTATGGAGTACCAGCAGAGGCTCCAAAAAAAAGCAGCTGATCATATTAACGATTCAAGAAGTCCTGTTTATCGAAAAAGTGAGAATGGCATTTCTGAAAGCATTGGATACCCACAGCATTCAAGAGGCCATGCAAGGGGATTGGGACAGTTCATTAACACAGGAAGTGTCCCTGGCCTGGCTCAAGAATCAGACCATCATTCGTTGGTGGCGACTCGAGTGCGTCCTGCTTCGACTGAATCTCTCATCACTGCTACTAGTAAAGAGGAGCTGCAGGAAAGTGGAGAATCAGTGCTAACAACACGACTGCAATTTCCAGTTTATAATAGTAGTAACAAAGTACAAAACTTAGCAAAGAGTTTTCCTAATGCCCCACGTTCTAGTTCATTGCATGATGTTTCAGTTACAGCTAGTCCAAGCAACAATACAGCTGCATCTTCAAACACTCCTCCTTCCATATCGCCTTCTGTTACCCTTCGTAAGTCTGAGTCGTGGCATCAGCTAGTGCCAGGTCAGCAGGGAATAAGAATCAAACGTCCACAAAGTCTTGCCTTGCCTGATCTCACAATACCAAGTGGTAATATTTGCCGAATTCCACCAGCATTACCCAAAACCAAATCAAGTCATTCCCTATCATTCCCCAAGCAATTTGAAGCTACCTTGTCACCTGAAAGTGTTGAGAACAAACAGCGTAAAGTAGAAGCATATCTTAAAAGTTCCGCCAAGCCAAAAACTCAAGAAGTAAAAATGAATGCTCAGAAATCTCAAGGTAACTCTGTGCTTCCTTCAAGTGAGCTCCTGGTTCTAGGTGACAATCTTGAGAATGTTGATGAAGCCTTTGAAAATGTATTTAATGCTGCTATATCGGGTAACAGTGAAACCACATCAAAACGAAACACAACACATAAGACAAAACGACTGCTGAGGCAGCCTGCCACTGAAGAACACATCCCATCCCATTTGAGTCGCAGTACGTCATCACAGTTTGTGCGCAAGCAGCAAGCTTGGGAAGACTCAAGCATGGTACGAACCAAGTTGGCACATCACTTGAGCAGTAAGTAGCTGCATCTGGCATGGAGTCATGCAGCCTGCAGCCTGCAGCCTGGAGAGCTGAACACTAATGTAGTCGTCATTTTGTGCAGTGTTTGTACTTATGTAGATAAGACTCACTCGCAATGTAATGGCCAAGCTTCTTTTTGTAATACAAGGGTCAAACACTACTGAGAAGTAACAGATTGATACCTAGACAAACAAGTATCTTGATTTTATTCATTTTTTGCAAGCATTGGCTTTAGTTAGTTGCAAATAATTGTATAAAGAACGTGAACAATTGCTTGTTGCTGTGCTAACTGGAACATCTGCAAGTTTGTAAACCACGTCAGCTCCAGCATCCTTGTGTTGGTTGGTCCAAAGACATGAGATCTGCAAGTTGTGGGTGAAGCAATGTGAATGAACATCAATTCGGATATGGATCCAGGAGCCGTGAGTCGGAAACATCATATCATGTGGAAATTTATTTCCCTGGCTGCATTTTTCAACTTACATGGAATGTTTTCTGCTTGTCTTTCATAGTAGAAGTTGTCATCATGCGGAAGTGTTTCCCTGATTGGTTCCCTGTGTTTATTCACTAGCAACTGCTCATGTGATTGATTTATCTAACAATCTCTGCATCTCCCTTATATAATGAATTGCGTTTATTGCCATATGGAATTTTCATGGAGTTTTTGCATAATAATAGCATCATGTGCAACCCTCATTGCCTCATATGATATTGACTTTGTATTTTGACTTTTTTTACTATGCAGTAAGTGGATTTATGTTCAAAGCTGAGGAGGTTGAAACCAACCCTAAATCTTTCAGGCCCCATTTGAAGTGCATGTTTTAAAGAATGTGCATTCTTCCTTTTTTTTTATTATTATTATTCAACGTGACTTCATGGAAATGTCTGTTCATTTGTGCCAAATAACCAAAAAACTGCGGAGCAGTATTTTACTGTTACTGATAGTATGCTTATGTTCTTTTTTATTTTGAACATGAAATAAGGTTTTGTAATTTTTTGTAAAAATGGTATTCCTGATATCAAAACTTAAATATTACAGAAGTCAGACTCTGACTTTAGAAATAAGTTGATTGCTTTCTAAAACTTCAATCAATACTTTTTTATTTAAAGCTATACAGCTTATTTCTTTATACTGTATCATCAGAATCTGCTCAGTTGCTTCCATAAATCTAGCATTACTGCTAATAATGTTTACCTGTTTTTGGAGTCTGCTGTGAAGCAGATTTATTAGTGATGGGCATTTTAAACATTTCAGAAACAACAAAATATTTTTGGTTAGAGGTAGATGAAACTTGTGCACTAAACTCTGTGTTCACATTGCTTTATGCTCCACGGGTTTTGATCGCTACATACAATTCAACCTGTCTGTTTTGTTCCTCTGAAAAATGATCAGCATTAAATAACAGTTTAGATAGGAAGAAGTTGAAATTGAATATTTTTATAGCATTTTATAATAAAACTTTTAAAATCTTTCTTGAGAGTACACAATTTTTGGAATTTTTTACATACATATTACAATTCAATTTTAAATGGTACTGACGGTGGTGTGTTACAGTCGGGATCACTAAATTCTTGGATTATGTCTAAGAATTAAGTGATTCTGGACATATTACAGTGTCATGCTGATGGTATATAGTCTGATCTGCTGACATCATTAAATAACCACAAATGAATAGATAAAAATTATCAGTCTCGGGAGCCGTGAAAATTTTATAAAGGCTAGTTTACATATTTTCGATCTTTTGCCAGTAACATTTTGTGAAACACAGAAGTTAAAAGCAAAACTTAAACTAGAAGCATGAAATTTATATTTTGTAAACGATTAATATGTCTGTATATATGCATGTTGTAGGTTTTCATTCTTAGTATACTTTGTTGTGCAGAGAAGTTTGAGATGCACTCAGCAGAGTTATAAGCTTATACAAATAATTTCATATTAATTCCTTTCTCACGCAGCTGATTACCCGGGACCTCGCTGCATTATAATTTTTGACTTTCACAATTTAATTACACATTTTGCATTTCTAAAGTTAGTGTGTAAACATTTCAATGTGTGTAGTTTTCAACTTATGCTGCTGCACCTGCAGTGTCAGAGATCTGTTACATAATATAAAAGTGTCAAATTACATAAACAAAAGGTTACCATACAAAATGCCCTTTACTAATACTCATTTTTACTTGCAGAATTGCTTGGTTACTTTAGTTTCCCTTTTCGTATGGAAGCCATATTATATTTCTGTTACTTAACTTAAGCATTATTGCTGTTTAGTGATGTAATACTTTATTAAGACATTTAACAGAATGCATAGTAGTTGTGCTTATTATTTTATGTTCAGAAATTATTGAAATTTACGTAATGAAATATGCTTGAACTGTAACATTTGTTGTATATAGTTTGTTTCATCCATGTTATTGAATGCTGTATACAATATATGTAGTCCAGTATAGATGTTAATATCACTCTAATTAGAAACTGCAGATACTTGCCAGTGTTTAAAGTGTTCATTGTATAATATATCAGTGGTAAACGTACTATAAGAATTCTTTGTATTTCCTGATAATTTATATACAGTGGAAGCTTGATATTCTGCGGACTCGGATATACCACAGCTGTGATCATGTCCCCCAATACGATTACATGTTTCACATATTTCATATATAACTCGGGTACTGAAGCTGTCCCCCGAAACCCGTGTTATGTCGAGGTTTCATTGTATTTTATGTTTGTATTATGTTGAAGCAATGAATTCATTTATTTTTTTACAATATCCGTGTTGTATAGTTATAATGCACAGATAGTTATTTTAAATCTTGATTAATACAAGAATCATTTTCTAGATCATGAAAATATGCCATTCACTACTGTGAATTGACGTTAAAATGTAACAGATTTTTGGAGAATCAGTTTTTATTACATGTGATAAATATATATGATTTCCATCAAAAATATATTATAGGTATTTTCTGTAACTGTCTGTTTAACCTAATATAACTTGAAACTAAAAGTTTATTTGGTTCTCTACAGGACATTCCGAGTCCAAGGTGACATCGTCCTCCACTGATGGTACCACCCACACTGAAGGTGAGACATATTTACTTCCTGTCACTTGAACGTAACAGAAAAAAATATGTTGATGAATGTAAAACAGCATGACAGCTATATTGAATATTTCCATGTAACCTTTGTTTATAAGTCAATAATTATGAACATGGAAATGGTTAATACTTTGAGGATTATATCTGACAAAGAGAATCTGTACTCGAGTTATAAGTTATTCCTAAAAATAACAGTAGTTGCCTGCATGTAACATACGTGCAGTTGTTAGCAATGAAAGAGAATATGACTTGGTAGGATGAGATCATGTTTGTGTCTTCATACTTGCTGCTGTGAGAACCTGATTATAAACTCAGTATATTAACTTATAATTAAATTTAATTGTATTGTTGCATCACGAACTTACATTATAACATTAACACTCACGTCATCTGAGGGACTAGAAGTCTGTAAATTGGAAAGTAAGCTGCAGGAGTTCTGTCTCTAACTCCTTGTTTGTGTTTATTCACACAATTACTTGAATAAGTACAATTTATTTTGCAATGTCTCTGTCTTAATGCTCTTTACATAGACAGGACAGTATAGGACCCAGAGTAGATCAGTACAAACAACTTTATGCTAAATCCCACCAAACGACCGTACATTTGGAAGGAGCTCATGCTTACATTTTTGTTACAGTAACAACAAAGACGTCTAGCTTCTCGGCAACGACAGTGGGGAAAAGCAAGGTCTCCAAAGGTAAATATTTCCTTTAGCATTAAATAAGGTATCACTTGGAATACACTATTATTATAAACTTTGTTAAATATCAGAGTATATGATTCATGTGTTGATTTGAATTATACAAATATGCTTATTGTTTCCAAACTGTGAGATATATCTTTCTTGGAAAGCTTCAGTTAGATGAATTATATCATAAAGTTACTTTATTATTTTAGCTTCCCCTTTATTTGCATTCAAATGCAACAGAAGAATCATCTGTTGTCTTAATGATTGCATACTTGTTCCATTGCCTCTATCCTTTTGTATTTACTTGCTCCATTTATATTGCACTGTCATTTCCATTGCACTTCTTTGTATGTGATAAAAATCTAGTCTCTTATTGGATCAGCTAGGAAACCTCTCTTTTTTATTTAACGTTAATGTGTAATCTGATGGAAACATGGTGGCGTAGTATATGAACCACCTAAACCATTCCATACTACAAGTTAGTCTTTTGTACATGTTCTAGAAGATTTCTTTCCATTGTAACATGTCTTGTTTCTGTTTTCTTTCCAATGCTGTTGTCATGACCATGAACTCAGATGTGTTAGACCTGGTCAGCTCCTATTTCTGTAAGCCTTTACAGTCCAAATTACTATTTAGAATGATAGCGGGTAGCTGCTATGGCTAATGTAGAATAGCCCTGTGCCGTTGGTTATCAACACACAGGCTAACCAAAGCCATTGCAGACATGAGTGGTGAAGGTCACTGATTCATTCAAATTGTGTCGCATAATCATACATATTGAGTATAACAGTCATTCCGAATAGTTTATGAGATTCACAGACTATTAAAATGACAGCATTCAGAGAGCCAGCATGCTGTGTACACATCTAATACTAACGTGAACATTTCATTTACAACATAAGAAATCATGGCCAATCATGCTGAACATTCAAATTACAATTCATGTACAAAAGTGTATGAAATCAGTTGTCAGACGCACTTAACCTACAAGGATCTGGGGTAATGACTCACTGTCACCTCATCCAACTCCCTGTTTACGAGGGACACATCAGCCAACCCCAGAACTCTGCACTTTCTTCTATGGAAGAAAGTAGTCACATTAAAATTCAAATAGTTTATTCACTAAAAGGAAATAAGAAGTGATAACATCACTTGTTTGAAAATAATTTTTATTGTTGTAGTAAATTAAATATAATGCTAACTAAAATACATAAACCACTAGTTTAAAAACAATGAACTGAAACTTGACACACCAGTCAGTCATACTCAGGATACCACATTGTAACTGGAACACTGAATTTCTGTCAACACAACCACTCCATGGGTACTGTGACGTGATAGGATGGAAACCACTGACCTAGACATTCGATAAAATGCAACATTCTAGAATGTGTACGCAGTGAAACAGGAAATTAATTCCAAAGAGTTTCTAGGGTCACTTTTAATATTCGAAATAAGTCAAAGATAATGTAAGATAAGATTGGTTTTGGTAACATTCAGTACTTAGATGGCGATAATTTTGTTCAAATTGGGTAAATACTTAGTTCTGTTTTCCGACTGGATGACCCTTGCAATTAAAATGTTAATTTTATTACTGAAGGAATTCTGTATTTATTTCTTAACAAGTGGCAGCTTAATTTTTATTGATACAGTGTTTCCTAATCTTGTTGTTACGTATATTCACAACCCTGCATAGCACCTATTAAAAATCACTGTTTGTCCCTCTGCGCATCTATACACATATAACAATTTAAGAACAGCTGAACAGATTTTACTAAAATTTGTAGGCACATTACAGTTTTGGTTGAAATCCAGACCTACACATGTTTCTATGCTCTGAAGTGATGTGGAGAATTCCCTTGACATACACAAAAATCAGACAAAAGTTGGGGAATTCCGGCATTGGGAATCCCAAACCAGATAATTTCCTGACCATTCACAAATGCCAGAGGTCAAATTCTTTCAAGTATACCAGAACTGCTATACTATGCACACATTTGCTAATTCCCCCCAGCTGAAAACTTGACATGGAATGAGACGCAGACATGTTATATAGGATATGTAATTGCAGAAAGAATTAGCATGTTTACATTACAGCTGTACTGAGTATTTATTTGAAGGAGGCATCAAGGACTCACCACTTGTGTTTTCAAAGGCTGTAACTAAGCTTGATACTGCATTGTAGTTAGCAGCAACTAGAATTTCTATAGTGAATGTTGTAAATTTCAAACAGGCACATATTAATTATGTACATCCATTATAACATGTTATTGCATGTGTTTTTGTCTGTGTTGTTTGTTCCTTAGGACATATAATAGCTGTACATTCATCTCTTATACACTTATTAGGCAACATGTAAAATATTATACCTTTACGTTCAGGATTATATGTTTGTGCGAAGAACACGTCACAAATTGAACATATAAGTGTGGTCCCTTTTTAATTTTGATTTGACAGTAAACTGAGCTCAGTTACCACTGGTTAGAACAAAAATTGTAAGTGAAGTTAGATTTGCTAGCAAAGTGACAATTTGTATCTTCTATGACTGGGGCACAGTTCCTTGTGAGAACTGGTATTTTTCTCTTTGCTGCCATGTCCACATTGACTGGGTCCTACCCAGCCTCCTGTTCGGTACTTTTCTAAAATGTAACTGAGCTCCGTACTATGTGTACCCTGTTTGGAAGTGTGCTGTGTGGTTTGTTGTCTGACTGGCGTGTCCCCCTACAGCCCCCCTTGGAAAGGCGATGTCCCCCTTCGCCAAGTTCCAGCAGCTGGACCGTCAGAGTTCTTCCCAGTCGACACCCAGGTGAGTTGCATGCCGTGCCCTTGTCTGTCACTTCCATGCTGCATTCCACATACAGCTTAAATGTCACCAAAATCATCATACTATTGATTATTTTAGTAGTAATTACTTGTACCTCATAAGTATTACTGTTACATATAGTTTTCTGACATAGTGCAACATGAATCAGGATCATTCCATATGAGGCTATTCAAATATAAATGGAATAAGATGAAAAAATTGACACAACATAATTTATTTCTTATAGCTGTAATATGCTCACTTTTAGTATTTTATATCTTAATGACTTACAACACTGTCGTAAATTGTAAATATCCACATAATTCAGCCCAGAGTTACAATAAATTTAATTTATTTTTAGAGAAAATTTAGATTTGTTGTGGGGGTATATTAAAAAGTTCTTATTATTTTAAATGGCAAGGAAACAAACTGCTTGCATCACAGGCCGTGCCCCTATTCAAAGGTACTTCTGTAAGTATGTGGTGAACAGGCGGAGGAGTCATTCACACTCCATTCATGTGATGTGAAGTGCAAGAGTTACATAAAGCAGCAGACTCAATCTTCCAGCTTGGAACACATCTCATTTCAATGTAGATTGTAATTTTGATGGTGAAATTATCTTCTGATATCTATTCTTTTGTCTTGTCATGTGCTCAAACTTCAGTACAATACCATGCTTAATACAGGAAGATTCATTATCAAAATTCTTGTGATGCATTATTCTAAAGTTAAAACAAACCCAGTTAACACTGTAATTTGAGCAAATGATTAATATAAATATTTCTGTTTCATTTCAAAATCAGCTATAATAAAGGAAAGAAACCTGTAGTAAAAAATTAGATAATGCAGCTTTATTTTACTGCCTTCTAAAAGAAAGTAACATTATTTTACAAATAGTCTATATTATCTCTAGAAACGTTCCATTAACTTTAGAAAAATACATAAGCATTAACTTACAGCCGCTGTACATAGCTATATTAATAATGTGCAGCATATCATTGAATCATAATCACAGTTAATGGCAGAAGTTATTTTTCAAAATTCCGTTAAGTGAAGGAAGCATTAGTGTTTTGATTTATTTTATAATAAGCATAATTTGTATTTTAATATGTTAATTTGTATACTGTACTTAGTAGTACATGCTCTTTCTGTATGGAATCGGGTATAAATACTACAGAGAATTAAGAGAACTAACTTCTGCTGCTCTTAGGGGTATAAAAGACAGTTGGGGGAAGATTCAACACAATTTTCCACAGGGAAGCCTCTATTCATCTTATCCCCAAACTGTTTTTAATAATTCTGATAGAAATTCTTTAATTTAACTTGCAGTCCATCATCAACCATGGCAAATCTTAAGCATGCTTCATCTGCATATTTTATACTTTTAAGTTGCATGTATATTTAAATAAAAGGTTCAGTAATGAACGAGGTCTGCGTGTCTCTTTCATGCAGGAGCACAGTCTGACAACATACACAAGATACTTAAAAGTTTATTGTAAAATGCATTGAATTTCCTTTTTTATGATTTTTTTTTTATTTTAAAAAATGATTATCTGGATGCATATGTAAGGATAAAATTCAACAAGTCAAACAATCTGAATCACCGCTGTGATCAAGTCGGGAACTTCAATCAGCTGAGATAATATTTTACACTGAGTTTGCAAAACAGCTCATTCCAGTTTTCAATTGGAGACTCAGTTTAACTGTCATAAGAAATTGGTGTTGATTGTTTGATTCGCATAATTGCAGGCATCTGTTTTTATTAATGGTATGCCTTGGTTAAAATCATTAATTAATGTAGATAATATTTATCACAAACTAATGGACAACAGAAGAAATTAAATATGTGTATATATAAATATGTAATTGTCCCTGTATTCACTTCTGAAGCTGTTCAACCAGCATTAACCAGTTTAAATTCTCTTTCCACTTTCTTTGATTATTTTGGAAGATGAAGTTCTGTTTTTAATGAGTACTTACATAAAATCGAAATGTTATTGCTTCTTCGTAGTAGTTTTAAAGATACTCATTTGTTATCACGGAAATCTAGACTTGGAAATGAATGTTTCTGAATGCTACCTAAAATATCCGTTGCCTTCTAGAAAACTTTAAAATAGCTTAGTTACAAATTTATATGTAGTATTTTATTATTTTTTACAATGTATGAACATATGTTTTATTTTGATATTTCCCATATTCTGAGTTTCTTTCAAATGCAAACTGGAAGAGTGGGTAGTAAGGAAAAGATCTGTGATTAACTCATTTCTGTTCAGATAATACTAAATTGTTCTGATATGCACAGAATTAATAAACAAGATCCTGCATCATATCAGCTCTAGTAGTGAAAAGTGGAGACAGACAAAATAATCTGTATAAACTTTCTGCCAAAGAACAGGGAAACTTACCACATTTGTGCAGAAGGCAAGCAACAGTGGCAAAGAGCATCATGCATTTACATTATGCAGATTTGTTTTGAAGCATATTACAAGTAGCATGATGGGTTATCATGGTTGATGCTGGTTAAATAGTTTAACAAACGTTCGCTATAAACTAGACATTAAGTAAACAATCAGACTTCATTTACTTTGGCTGGCTTTAAGCGGAGGGTTTCCTGTCTTAATTGTGGTGCTTACATATCCCCTAGCTGCCTCTTGCTTAATTTCCTGCAGAGCTGATGCTAGTTATTGTAGTTGAGCTGAAAATGTACTGTGAATGTTCCTGTATTTCAGATATTTTAAAACATAGTCCAAACATCCTGCTTGTGAACTGTCTAAAAAATTCAAATGGACACCTTACATAGATTTCTACAGATAAGTTGGTATCTTACATAAAATTGAAGAATGTAATTTATTCTTATAACTGGAACCTACTGACTATTTGCATCTTCACAGTTTTGTGATTCCTGCATTTGAACAGATCTTGGTCCTTGTTAAGAAAGGCTGGGAATTGGCTGTGTTCAAAACATTATTAGATGTTCATCTAAAAATGAAACTCAAAATAATTTAATGAAATAAAAATATAATTCACAAAACATTATTACCTTCGTAATACAATTTTTATGAACAGTTTGTGTTACCATAAATGTTATTAAAATTGTATTAGAGCAGAGAAATATTTATAGAAATCTTGACTGAAAGACTTGCAGCAAATTTTTGTAACCGAGCATTGAAATTAATGCATATTTCAGTTAGTGTGCTTTTGGATGACATTTATTAACATGTTGATTCCATAACAACAGAGAATATCTCAATCAGCTGAATAACTGCATAATCTGCCATGTAGCTGATTATCGTGCGATGTTGGAATCTCAGTAAAACTAAATTGCTACTGATGTGCAGGAACGTCCTCTAAATGAAACATAACAACATACTAACATTGGCTCTGTTGTTTTCTCCTTACTAACCAAGAGAAACTCTTGACATTGTCTGTGCCTCCCCTGTGCCTGCAGCTCCCCTAAGACCCCTGAGGTCACAACTGCAGCCCCCCTTTTTAAATTCACGGACCCTAAGCTGAGCCGGAGTGCTTCGGGGGTCAAGGACAGGCTTCTATTCTGGTGTCAGAGCAAGACCAAGGAGTACAAGGTATAACAGCCACATTAGATAACCTGTCTCCTGCATGGCTTTGTATGCACACACACTCATGGTTCAGCATGAAGGGGCAGTAAGGTGTTAATGCATGGAGGTATCTTTATATTACATTTGTAGTGCACCTTTAATGTGTTCTATATCAAATGTTGTAACAGTATACTTCAGTGGTTTTTAAAAAAGTGATAGAGTACCTTATAGATAATGTGTTAATGTGAAGAATGGGAATCTCTTTACTAGTCCATGGATGGTATTAGACAATTTGTGTATTAACACATTTTTTTAATGTAACATTACACTCACAGATAGCATGGGAATCTGTTTAATGAAAATGTATTCTAGTACTGTCAGACATATCTTGATGTTTGTGAGTTGTCATTTCGTGTAATGTGCATTGCATCTTGGTAAACGTGTTTGGTGCAACTGCATGGGAATTGAATGTGAAATGCAGTTTTCTTTCTGCAAGCTATCAAGGTAGGTTTTTTTAAAAATGAATTATAACCATGTAGAAAAAGGTTGTTGTTTTTGTTGTTACTATCATTGCAATGGGGTGAGATAGTGGAACTGGGCCATTAATGGTCCCATACATGGAGCATTGGTGGAGTATTGACAGAGGAGAACTGAGGGACTCTTGAGAAAATCCTGTGTCAGTGCCACTTTTTCTACCACAAATCTCACATGGACTGACTTTGACACTAACCCAGGCCTCTGCTGTGAGAAGCTGAATGACTAATTGCCTGAGCTATGGCATGGCCCTCAGACAAGACTGTTAGAAGCAGTCTTGGTAATTCTGGACTATTTGCAAAGAAATATTTACAAATTATTTTCCTTACAGTACTGTATGTCTGGAAAATGTTTGTCGGTGTGTATAACAATAAATTACAAATTACGAATTGATGCAATATTATGACTTTTGCATACTTAAAGAATATGTTCTATAAGATTAAATTTTTATCATTGGAACTGTATTCTGTATTGTAAAGAAATAATAGTAAGAATGACATTTGGAATGTATGTATTATAAAACAGTGTGTCATAAAGACAGATTGATTGCATAGTATATAATGATTCAATGACTGAAGACACATTAAAAAACATTGTCAATCATTGTGGTGTTCTTGCATGATAATCAAAATACTTAAGTCTGTTAAAAATCTAATAGCATTAAGGACTGTATGATTCCACATACACATTATTCTTTTGTGCCTGTTGCAGAACATTCAAATAGACAACTTCTCAACAAGCTGGAGCAATGGCCTGGCATTTTGTGCTCTTATCCATCATTTCCTCCCTGATGCTTTCGAGTATGATTCCCTTAGGCCTGAGGAGCGGCGCAAGAACTTTGAGCTCGCTTTCCGAGTAGCTGAGTAAGTTCTAATTGAACACATCTGTGATGAATGTTATGTCTCTCTGATAAGTACGACACAAGACTTGTCCATTAAGTAACAGTATTAGCTACTGACACAAGCAGCAACTTCAGGTTGAAGGAAGAGAATATAGTTCTGTGGGTTTTTATTACTATGATGCTAATTTTCAATGAAAACTTACCATTTCAAAGCAATACACTTACCTTAATTCATCTTATGACAATATAGGTTTCAAGACAATCTTGAAAATTGTTAATTTTTCATGTTCCAAGATGAACCGAGTTCCTCCACCAACAGACATAAATTGCTGCCAGACATTTCTGTACAAGTGTCTCGTCTTATTTGTGGGAAGCATTAAAATACAAGCGGATAGTTAATAAAGGACAAGATGGTGTTTCTTCTTTTTCTTTCCCTCCCAAACTCTGTAGTGTAATGTTAAATGGTGGGTTTTGTCATTGCGTATATATAAATTTCTGTTGGATTATTTATTTATTATCCCACATTTCCATATATGCTCATTTATTTCATTATCGTAATGCCTGGTGCTTGAAACATAGAACAGAAGTGAGCAGGGATGAAAAACTAATGAACTAAGTATTATAATGAAAAATTAATAAATTTCATTACATTATTTAAGTTTGAAATTTGTGTAAATTCTTGAAGTGATTATGACTCATCATATATTTTCAGTGAAAAGGCTGGGATCGCACCTCTGCTGGACGTTGAGGACATGGTTATCATGCGTAAACCTGACTGGAAGTGTGTCTTCACTTACGTCCAGTCAGTGTATCGCCGCTTTAAGGACCAAGACTGATCCTCCATGACAATGTAATGCATGAAGTAAGGTTCCTATCTTGATAGCTCGATATCCTTTCATCCAAGAGAAAATACATGCTTCCTTCAAAGCCCTCCTTTAATAAAACTGATGTGTATTTTGTACAGATTTGTAAATTAGCATAAATTATCAGACTTTATAGTGAGCATACATTGTTGTAAAATCAAAATTATTTATCATATTCACATGCACAATTATGGATATGAAATGGAGCAAGAAACAATATTAATCTTCTAAAGGTACACACATATATTCATATGTAATAATATATATATATATGTGAATATATCATGTGTCTAAGGTTTGATGTAAAAATGAAAATGAAGGCTTTTGGATGCATTGAATATGATAGACATTTTGTTATGTATGTATGTTTGTATTATTATATATTATTTGTTGTAATCATTGTCTCTAGATCAGGTAGACAGAAATGATGGATCATGCTCAAGGAGCAAATCTTGAGAAATTAGCTTATTCTTGCCAAGAGTCCAGAGCTCCAGTGTTGCCATCTCATTGCCAATCTCTGAACCAATCAACTAACATAATTATTATTAATGTTCACTTATTAGATAAATTTTCATACATTTTTTAAGCTGCAATTGTTGCGAATCCATTACTCATAACTGCTTGCAACAGAGGTCCATTCACAGCTCTATCCTTCTGAAAAACAATTATATAGTCGATGAAAACTGTGTACATAACAGGTCTCGACCTTCTACAGTTTTCAGAACTTGCTTGCTCCCCTAATATTAAACAATTATTTGTTGTTGTTTTTTTCTTTTGCTGGCTGAGGTAATATTTACGCAGTGGATATTAACAATGTTTTTTTACTTTCAGAAGTGTAACTTGTATCAAGGATGTCTGGGTGGCTTAAATTTTACTACATTTTTATGTGAAAACCAGACTAATTGATGTAATTGATCATGTCTTTCGATTTTTAATTTTATATTGGTTCTAGTAGGGCCTACTAATTTAAATAAAAACTAAAGCTTCCTATTACTGTAAGTAAATAAAGCAATTGATATTGTTAGAAACAAGATTAATTTACTTTTTACTGTTCAAGGAACCTTCCCATTGGTATATATAAAGTGTCCAAAGCAATGAAATTGTGACTTCACACTGTTTATTGCATGTCTGATTGTTAGTCTTACAACAGTGAACACTTTTCACAAAAGTGTGTTTTTGTATATTGGTAATTGTGTTGGTGATTGTTTTTAGTACATCATTATAAACACTGATTATTTTTGGATGCCTTATATACACCATGCTCAGCATTTCCAGAATCTTTATGGAAAACAGTGTTCTTTAGAACCTGATAATATCTTAGCTGGTCAAGTAATGCCTTTCCTTCTTTGGAACTGAAGGTTCACAAAATTTCATAAATCTATTTATAAATTCTATTTCCTTAATTCTTATTTTAATATTACTTCCTACCTGCACTTAGTTCAAACATGGTAAAGAGCCAGAAATTTTAGGTTTTCATAGTGGGTGAAGGTGTTTGACTTTATTATTATTGCTCCAATCTTGGATATGAGTCGCCTCAGGCAGTGTATAGATATGAGGATTCCTCCTGCCCACATTTCCTGCACTTGGGCTTCCTGAGCTTACCAACACAAAGTGAGATTTAAATCAGCTTGGGTCCAAGGAATAAGACTGCTCAAACAGTCCCCAAGAAAAGCATTTGCTTCATTACCCTGAACCCTAGTGACCAAACACTCAGTGAGGCATAACCTTTTTCAATCTAGGCAGCACACAACACCAGCAATCACGCCTAGACAAGTTCTGACTGTGAGTCTATGTTTGATTATCATTGAAGAAAAACAAAAAGTGGAGGGTTTCTGAGGAAGGAAGATGTGCCCTTCATTCTTACGAATATGAGAGTCCCTAAACCACGATTAATATTGTTGAGGACGAAGAAACTCTCGAAATCTTTGAGAGGGGGGGGAATTGGCTCTTAGTTAAAGATGTCTACACTTCGCTTCGCCACTGTGGTTACTCTTCTACACTGTATATGGGTGCCGGGTTGTATGTTTTGTCACATAAAACATACCTCTCCAACGCAAAGCTTGAGGTTACATATCTGTTTCTGTCGTCTGTGATACGAATTATTGCTTAGTCTCAGGTGTGTAATTTGTGAAAGTTAGTATTTGTAATATGTGGCGTATCTGAACACCGACTACGCACATTGCATTGTTTTTGAATATTCGAAGTATTACATCGTTTTATTATACCCATCACTAATTTACACTACTTTATGGATTCTGTGGATAGTAAGAAACATCAGTGTAAAGAATGTTTTTTTTTTCGAAAACGTAACCTCAAAGATCACGAAGCTACACATACTGGAGAAAAAAGGCATATTTGTAAAGTGTGTAATAAAACGTTCACACAAAATCGTAATTTAAAAAACCATTTGAAAATACACACAGGAGTTAAAGCTCATATTTGTTCTGTGTGTAATAAAGGTTTCACACAGAAAAGAAATCTAAATGATCATCTTGCTACACATTCAGGTGTGAAGAGGCATGTTTGTGACGTATGTGGTAAGAACTTCACTCAGAGGCGTAATTTGAAAGACCATGAGGTAACTCATACAGGAGTTAAGCAGTTCGTTTGCAAAGAATGTGGGAAAGGATTTACACAAAAACGAAATTTGAATAAGCATATGGTTACAGAACACAGGGAAGGTAAATCTGAGAAGAATAACGATTGTGAAGTTAACTACTCTGAAAACACCATATCAGAGGAAGACCAAGAAATGACAAACATTGAGGGAGAGATGTCATTGCACAATCAAGAAACCCATGTGACAGAGGAAGAAGCAGCAATTCATAAATGAAGTTGGTAACTTTAATATTATTGATAAACAGGTTAGTTAGTGGATAAAATTCATAGTAAAAGTGTTTGCTAGATTGCTAATTCTCTGCCTTGTCATGTTAGCAAAGCGACATACATACAAATGTCACTGATTAAGTAGATATGTGTATCACATGCAACACTTTTATATAAATTTTGATTTTCTGGATTGTAACTCTATGTGGTCTTGTGGGTGGTTATATCTGAAACTACTTACTACATTACATAACAATGAAGAGGACCATAACTGATGTCACCATTGTGAAAACCTGAAACCTTACTTCTTATTCTGTATATGCATAAGTAATACTAATCTGTATGATCTGAAGTTTTCATGCCGATGAAGTATAATGAATTTGTCTCAGACGACCAGCCGTGTCTGGTGGTTGAATGGAGAATACACATTTCATCTTCTCCACTCAAGCACCTGACATGGCAGGTAACCCAAAAATAATTCATAATACTGATCTGCATTTGTGCGCTAATGAAAAAAAATAATATAATTTCCTTGCCAAAAAATAATGTAATAAAAGTGGAATATGCCACAGAAATAAGTAGAAAGCAATTAGTAAACCAGAAAGTATAGCAATGCAATCTATTACGATCTCCTTTTTTGAATATACATTAAAATGTGATACAAAAGACCTACCATTACATTTTCCCTCCCATTCCTCATGTGATCTGATACATTAAAATATTTTCAGAAATTTGTCAAAACATGTTGATGTTGGACTTTGGCTTTGTAATGCTTCAGCCCTGAAGATGGAGGCAGTATTTTCCTACAAAATGTTGGTATCAATCTAATCCACACAGCGTTACAACCCAAAGACCAACATTGACATCTTCACTATCATGACAACTGCAGATCTTTAAAATGTGTTTATTGTTTAATGTGCAAAGGAAAAACTAGGTAGGAATTCTTTCAGTAAGAGTAACACCAAAGCTGTGCTTTTTCTAAAGAATCCTGGTGACTATATTTTGTTTCCTTATGTGCAATGTATGAAAAGAATTGGTACATTTGGTCATAGTTGGCATTATTCTTGTATTTACTCTTGTGTCCTGTTATTTTTGCTTTATCCTCTGCAGTTGCAGGGTTTTTTTTCCTAAAAATATTACTTATTTTCTCATATTCTTTAAGAGTTCACATTCCCCAAGTGTCATCATGGGAGACATGAACTACAGACACTAATCATGTGAATTAAGAGCTCATTCTCTTCTTTGTGTTCCTCAACTACAGGAAAATAGTGAATGTATGATACAGCACAACTCTGCAGTTCCTATAGGATGCCATCTGGAGGACTGCCCATGTTTGTTAGCAGAGAAGGTGATTCTTCTCCGTGACAACACGGATTTGCTGGGAATGCTTGCCCTCTACTGTCTAGCTAAGACCTTATACCTAGCAACATCAGACCACTGGAGAAGCACAGGAAGGAAGTTCTTGTGATGTGATGAGGTAAAAGAGGTATGCCAGTGGGTGAAGACACTGAACCCCAATTTTTTGACATAAATACGTCTATACAGAAGGGTCATTCGGCAAAAAGTGTAACGAAAACGTGGAATGAAAATGTGTAAGATCCGTATCAACAAATCGACAACAATGGTTACCTAGGGAACGTCGTGTTTACTCGGCATTATTGTTACCTAACGTGTAATATCCATATTAACAATGTGTAAATATGGACCAACAACAATGGTCAGCTTGCGTGCATTGTTATGTTATAGGAAACGTCACCTGTTTACTCGGCATTGTTGTGTTACATTACTGCCGTCAACAATCCGCTTTCGTTATTGCGGAAAGAGCTGAGCTGTGAATCGCTTGTAGAAGAAGTGCGTCGTAGACTAGATAATTTTGACATTACATTTCATTACATTTCCTTACATTACATTCAGCTACCTTCCTTTCAATGTATTTATTGCTTAAATATAATTTAAATACAGAGATGTATTTACGTCAGATTCTCCGGAACCTCGGTTCCACTGTCAATTTTTGACGTAAATATGTCTATACAGAAGGGTCATTCGGCAAAAAAGTGTAACGAAGATGTGTAACGTTTTAGAATATCACAAATACTTATCTTATATAAGAATTATTACATTACAGGGACGTATTTACGTTGGATTCTCCGGAACCGTGATTCCACTGTCAACTTCTTCCTTGGAAATCAGATGGGTAATATATATATTACTTAAGACACTTGCCTCATTTTTACTTTGGTGATTATGTGGGGGAATAGAGGATTTGTCCAATATTACTTGTTCAGTTAGTTATATATGTTAAAGTAATAAACACCATTGTATCATGGCTACAGATTTTACTGTGAACATCCATCACTGAGATACACAGTCATTATTTGAAATGTATTTTTATATGGAACTTCCAATGAAATACAAGGAAAAATAGTTTCCGACTCTGCATTGTGATAAGTCCAATCTGATTAACGTAGAAACAATAAAGGAACATCTGGGTCAAAGGAATGCAAAATATCAATGAATTCATTTGTAAAATATATGTACTCCCATTGGAGTACTTCAGCTTTCTTTACTGTTGTTTTTATATATATATTATTTACAAATGAGGAGGTAAGGTAGTATTGTTTGTTGCCCCAACTTATAACTAATATTTTTGTATCCATTTTAACTTCACCCACTCCATTCCCTGCTCTTAATATAAACATCTCTGATTTGACCACCATTGGAGTCACAGATGAGAAATAGTTGGAACCGGATACGGATGTTAGCAGAGCACTCTTTTGTGATGGGTCAATAAATGTGGGCCAACATCACCAGTCACGTGATCAGGCCTCTGTAGACGTGTAAAATAGTTTGAGTATATGTGTTGGCGTCGAAGAACGAAAGTTGGTCAGTTTGTGTAAGGTTGGACGTGTTAGTAAACGCAGACTGATCACTAAAGTGTTAAAAAAAAATTAATTTACAATGGGAAGTAAGTGGTGTTGTGAATAGAATTATATTTATATGAATATAATTGAATTATGTTTGAAATGGAAGTCGGTCCACTGTGTAACTGTACATATGTTGAACGTTTGGTATGGCCATTACATCGTAAGGTGCTGTGGGACGGCTTTGTTTCAGATCCATCTATTTTTGAGAGTAACTTTCCATTTTGTTTGAACAGACTTAGACACAAAATTAAATTTGATGCTATATTTTTGTCTTCAAAAGGATGAACATAGATATGACCATCAACTAACGGTGTGTTTCACGATGTTAAGGACTTAGGAACAGTAAAGCAAATAAAACGTTAATTCAGCACTGATGAACTGTAAAGTAAATGAAACATGATAAGGAATATTGACCATGATGCCATTAATGCATTTTTTTTCATTTTCAGTTAAATTCCTGGAAGTCATAAAACCTTTCTGTAGCATATTGCCAGAAATAGCAAAGCCTGAAAGGAAGGTATACATTTTTTATATTTCATTAAATGATGCGTATTATTGCATTGAAAGTATTTATATTAAAATTAAAAATTCATTTCAATTTGTATGAAAGCAATATAACATTTTTTATATATACCATATGGCATATTCAAGTGTTGCATGTGTTTTACAGATCCAGTTTCGAGAGAAGGTACTATGGACTGCCATCACTCTCTTCATTTTTCTTGTGTGTTGTCAAGTAAGTACATTATTGTTATGTGTTTAAAGATGGGAGGGAACTTCATTCTTGCTTGAGAATGCCATATACAAGTTACAGACAATGGATAATGTATAAAATATATAACTTCGTAAAAGAAACATTTTTAAAAATCTTTGACATTTTTTGTGGGTTTTAATGTGAAAGAGTCTAAAGTAATGTTCATATATGATTGTTACAGATTCCATTGTTTGGTATCATGAGTTCAGACTCGGCAGATCCTTTCTATTGGATACGTGTAATTTTGGCATCCAACAGGGGAACCTTGATGGAGTTGGGTATTTCACCAATTGTCACATCAGGTCTTATCATGCAGCTGCTTGCCGGAGCTAAGATTATTGAAGTTGGTGACACTCCTAAGGATAGAGCACTTTTTAATGGAGCACAGAAATGTAAGGACTAACTGCCTAATATGATGCTGAAAATAGTAATATGCTTATTGGACCCTTATGATGTGAATTTGTGTAAGAATTTCACTTTATACAACAGATTCAGCTGCAGTTTGGGAAGTTACTGAGTAAAAGTGGAGAATTTAGACTTCGTGTTCTTGTGGGTTGGTAACACGATACGTGTGAGATGGCAACTAATCGAAGAGAATGCGTTTTGGAAATGTGCTCCAGTTGGTAATTGGTCTGGTGCATGCATTATATACAGTTCATAATTAAAATGTGTTAAAATTGTTAGCCACTGCTAACCTGTTTCAGTGTTTGGAATGGTGATTACTGTTGGACAAGCAATTGTTTATGTGATGACTGGAATGTATGGAGATCCAGCAGAGATTGGTGCGGGTGTATGTTTACTGATCATCATCCAGCTGTTTGTGGCTGGTCTCATTGTCTTGCTGTTGGATGAACTGCTTCAGAAGGGATATGGTCTTGGGTCAGGCATCTCTCTCTTCATTGCTACCAACATCTGTGAGACCATCGTGTGGAAGGCATTTAGTCCTGCCACTGTGAACACTGGTGAGTATAACATTTGGGTTTTGCACTCTAATGATAACTTTGTATATACCATATATACGTGAATATAAGAATGTATTTTCCAGATTTGCATCTCCTAAAACTAGGGTGTGATTTATAATCAGAGTATTATTTTATTGATAAACGAAATTATATTATGGTTGAATAAGAAATGTTATGCCTTGTTTATCGACATTTGAAGTCGGTGCTTATACAGACAGAACTTTGCGGCACCTGAACAAAGTATTTTGTATTTTTGATCGTATGCTTTTCACTGAGCATAATAGTGATTTGTGTGCTTGTGGCAAATTCATTTTAGGAAATAATCTGTTTCAGCCCCAGTTGCATCTGTTACGCTTTGCACAAGTAAAGTTCGTGCATGTGGGGGGAGGGGGAATATGGAGTTTTTTTAAATAGAAAGTTGATGAATGTGCAGTGTTCCATTGATGAGATGAACTTGGGCCTGTGTTCTTGATAGAACAAATTGTCACATGTTTCTTTTTTTACTTTTTCCAGTTAAATTGATAAATTTCTATTTAGTTCTCATATTTCACATGATACTTAATTGCATAAATGCCCATTTGTTGTTAATGTCCATTGTGTGCATATATTATACTGCAAAATAGCACGTTTCTACAAGTAGTTATAAATTAAAAACAATATTTCACTTTCTTTGTGTGACCCTTGATTTTTCTGGTCCCTTTCTTGACTCTCTGAGTTGAAGACAGGAATCCAGAGTTAGAAGAAGAAACCTGTGGGCTGGATTTTTGGTTTTTTACCGGTGATTGAATGATAGTTCTTTGGCCATGAAACATTTGCAGTACAGTGACCTACTATGAACTGAACAACTGGGGTTCGATTCCTGGCGCTAGAAGATCTTTCCTCCATTCTCCACATCCAGACTAGCCCTGGGGCCCAACCAGCCTCCTGTCTGATTTGTGTCGGGTACTTCCCTGGGGGTAAAGCATGGCTGGGTTGCGACGCTGACCATTCACCTGTCTAGTGCTGATGAGGAATGAGTAGGAGCTATACGTCCTCTCCCAAGCAGCTACATGGTATATAGTGGGACAGCTTTTTACTTTGCCCCCCTCTTTTAACTTTCAGGCCGTGGAACAGAATTTGAAGGTGCTGTAATTGCATTGTTCCATCTGTTGGCAACCAGGCAAGACAAAGTCAGAGCACTTCGTGAAGCATTCTACAGACAGAATCTGCCAAACCTAATGAATTTGCTGGCTACAATTCTTGTGTTTGCCATTGTCATATACTTCCAAGTAAGTCATATATGTAAAATGTATAACTGTTAACTAATCCCAACCATAGAATAGTGCGTTTGAGAAATGTAATTACTCGATTGGCCAAGAAATTCCATTTTGTGGCACCTGAAAGCTGGTCGCTCTTCGCAAGATCCCACTACAGGACCCTATTCTGAATCGGGTAATTCCAGTTCATACATAATTTAGGTAAGACCCATGCTAATATTATCCTCCAATCTACTTATTTATTGAGGTAGTTTACATGCTTTTTCTGCAATTTTTTGTGATTGATTATTTGTGTGTGTGCACGTTTTTACTTTAGGAAAGGAAAGGAAAATAAATTCTTAGTATATGCGGTTACACTGTTTATAACATCAAAGAGTGTTTCTCCAGTGACTCCAAAATTCCAGGCTCAAGGCAGCAACTGTTGATGGAGCTGCTAATTAGATGTTATTTTCATTTTGGCATAAATGTTTTGTTGATGCAGAGGTTTGCATATTTCAGTCCAGAAAGATTGAAATGTGTTTAAGAATTAGAGAATATTGCTAGGTGTCAATGTTCTTGGAAGTCTGTGAATACCGACTCTGGTCCAGTTGCATCATTGGAATAAAACAGGCCTGAATAAAGTGTGGCTTAATTTTTTTTTCATGTTAACCTATCATACCTTTAATACATTCTGCTACATTCCATGGCATGTATTTATTGTGATTTATATAAATAAACATTGTCGTGGTTGAGTGGAGTGAGAAACATTCCCTACATTAGGAACGTTTTATCCTGAGCTGTATGTGTTCAATTTGTGAAGTGAAAATATGTAATGAAGTCAAAACTTCGGAAGAAGTAGAACATGGTTTAATATGTAGACACTGCAGAATGATTATCGAGAACTGAGTAGAATTTATTTTCTTAGGGCTTCCGAGTGGATCTGCCAATCAAGTCTGCACGCTACCGGGGCCAGTATAGTAGCTACCCTATCAAGTTATTTTACACGTCCAACATTCCAATCATTCTTCAGTCTGCACTTGTGTCCAACTTGTATGTGATTTCTCAGGTAAGACAATTTTTCATTTAAACAAAATCCTCTACTGGACTGCACTGAACTAAATTGTGTGCTGACGGACTTGCATGGAATATCAGTAGATACCTTCTATAAAGCACCTTGTTGTATGCATTATGCAATGAGGTCGTTGCTTAGAAGGAGATGAAATCAGCTAAAGTGGGTGAGGCAGATGTTTGTCTATCGCGTGTGCCTCAAACTTGGTTGAAACAAGAGTTTGACTTTGGCCATGATCTCAGACAGTAAACTTTTTATTTCAGAGAGAGATACAGTAAGTGTGATGCATCTTGTTGCATTCTTGGTTCTTGTATGAGACAGTAAAGTTTTAAACTTGAAACGATGGTGAAGTATGTGACGTACCCAAAATATGCTGGTATGTCAGAAATAAAACTGTTACCTCTATTGTAGAGAAATGAAATATTGTGAAGTATCAGATCGTTAAAATCTACTGATGTTTGTTGTAATGAAGTTCATTAAATGGAGATGTTAATTGTATTTGTAGGTTTTAAACTTAGCCCCTCTTCTACAACATTTGGCTTTTGTCGAATATGTGCATTTCTATATACTGTCACATTTAGCTTGACTTCAAAGAGTAGTCATTTGCTTCTGTTGCTACATTTCATTCTACTACATGAGCTATAAAGATATTTTGTTGGACAGCATTATCAAGTTTGAACAATATAAAGCTGTCGTCGTTATCACAGTACTGCTACACCGTTGCAATTTACATCTTTTTAATGTGATGTTTATTGGTTTTAAGTGGTTTTAATATTGTAAACGGCTGCTAATATAATAATTGATTTTGGTGTGTTGGTAATTTTTATTCATATGTATACCTGAGCCTCATAATAAATTAAGATCTTTAATTTAAAATTACATTCTTTTAGCAAAGTGGGGTCCACAGTGGCCGCGCGGTCTGAGGCGTGGGCCTTGTGCCGCTTGGTCGTTGGACCATGGGTTCAAATCCCACTCAAGCCATGGATGTTTGTCTGCGTTTTACTGTGTTGTGCTGTCTTGTGTACAGGTAGAGGCCTAGCGACGGGCCGATCCCTCATCTAAGGAGTCCTACCAAAATGTCTATAGATCAAAAACCAATGGAAAAGTTGGGACCCGCAGTGCTCAGGCACTTGAAATACAGGTCGTTCCCAGTATCCCCCAGTTTAGCAAAGTAGTGGAAAATAATGAACAGTTTAAGGGTTAAGTTGTGTATGGTTATTCATGGTAAAATGTCTTTCTCCTGTTTGATAGATGTTGGCAGTGAAATTTACCGGTAACTTCTTTGTCAACCTGCTTGGAGTGTGGGCAGATGTTGGAGGCGGCGGCCCTGCACGAGCATATCCAGTCGGTGGATTATGTTACTATTTATCACCACCTGAAAACATTGGCCACATTCTTGAAGACCCAGTCCATGCCGTGTTATACATATTTTTCATGCTTGGTTCTTGTGCGTTCTTCTCCAAGACATGGATAGATGTGTCAGGATCTTCTGCAAAGGATGTAAGCAAGAATTGTTTTTGCCGTGGTAGCTAAGGAGAATTTTAGGTATAGAAGGCAGTGCTTGTGTATTACCATTTAGGAGGAACGTGCTATCTACGGTGTCAGGGTTGTGGGTGAAAGCAACATGTTCTTCAGAAATGTCTGTGCAATGAGAAGACATAGTACAACAGCCCAGAACACAATCTAATGTAACTGCTGAAGTGTGAGATGCATGTGGTTTAAAGTTTTCCAGACCGTGGGGAATTAAATTCAGTTCTCATTGACGTTCTAGCAACTTTGGTTCTTGAATCTTCCATAAAGCACCTTCCTGTGTGTCTTTAGCAGGATGGCCGTTGTTGGAAGAAGAAAAAATTCATCTGAAATGGGTGAGGCACTGATGGTACCCCAGCCTCATGTGCCTCAATCTCAGTTGAAACATTTTATTTTAATAACAGCCACAATTTCTTCCCTTTCCAGCCCAACTCCTTATTTATAATTTAGTTTAGCATTTATTTGGTGTTTTGTTCTCTGTCGCACTTTCAAGGAACCGGTTAACGATTTATATCAAAGGCCCACTGTACTGAGTCAGAAATAATTTAAAAGGCAGTGGTTGTGGTCTGTGTGAAAGTTTGTGCGTCTGCAGTGTTTTCTCTCCAAGATTCAAATGGAATTCATGTAAACTTACTCAGAAGACTATTAAGACTTATACTTAATATTTCTGTAAGGTAACTGCAATTTAGCTTGTTTCATTTCACTGCCTTGCACATTGTGCTCAGAGCGTCCTTTTGTTGCATATGTTGATATGTTTTGCAGGTTGCCAAACAGCTTAAGGAGCAACAGATGGTAATGAGAGGTCACCGTGATAACTCCATGATCCGAGAGCTGAATCGTTACATCCCAACTGCAGCGGCCTTTGGCGGTCTCTGTATTGGGGCGCTTTCCGTCCTGGCCGATTTCCTGGGTGCCATTGGGTCAGGCACTGGAATTCTCCTTGCAGTTACAATTATTTATCAGTACTTTGAAATTTTTGTTAAAGAACAGAGTGAAATGGGCGGCATGAGTACATTGCTGTTTTAAACATCACATACGCATTGCAGTTGTGGATTCAATATTAGTACCCATGATCTTGTAGCTTTTTTTCAGCATTTTCACTCAAAATGTTGGTATCCAAACATCGAAATGAATTCATGTTTTACATGGAATATGTGTTGATTAAAGGCATCAGGTCTGTGAGTATGAAGCATTTGTATACACATCTCTGTGTTGTCGCTGTATGCAAGGAGAATTTAATTATTTGGTAAAATTTTATGGAGAAATTGAGTCTTTGACTTGAACTGTGGATTATAGAGACTATTTTTAATTACATTTTTCCCCAAAGGAACCAGATTGGACGCAGTAGCAAGCTGGGTTATATTGCATGTTCTGAGAATTTAAAATAGTGCATAGAAAGGAGATGCAAGTGCATTTAAATTCCTGAAGAGCTTTCAGTGAGTTGTGAATTTGGTATGTGGATGAAATGGGGCTGGTAAATTCTTGGTTAGTCTTCGTGCCAATGTGTGTTTTGCAGTGCTTACTGACTCGAACAGGGAATAATTTAAAATTAAAATGAACTCGGTAAGTTATTGAATGAAAAAGTGTTGATTTTTTTCTTCAGGGATCTGTTAAGGGAACAGTCTTTGATTTGCTTGAATTCCACTTTATAACAGTTTGAAAATTAAAATTTAATATATTTTTTTAAAAACCAATTTATCTGCAGTATTACAGTTCTTTAATATCCGGCTGTTCTTACAATTCTCTCAAAAGTGTGTCATTTGTAAGTATATGTGCTAAAGGTTATAACCCTTTCAACTGCTGTTGCTGCTATTTAGCCTACCTCCACAAACTGGAATGTGTGTGGTACTCAAGTAAAGAAGATAAAATATGAAGATGGTGTGGTTGTGCAATGCTGTTAATATATGAGGTGTGTGACATTTTTATTTTACCAACTCAAAGTTGATATATGGAAGAAAAATATGAATTACTCATTTTTTACATTTTTGTTCTTTCATGTTTATTGACCCATCTTAAGTTACTGCATTGCATAGTAATGAGACCTCTGAAAGTAGTCATTAAATTGTAAGCTCCATAATTTCCTCAGTCACAAAGCTATTTTTAATAGAATCCATTCATACATATCTCAGTAAAGTATCGACCAATATGTCACTTTCCTTGAAGATGCATACATAGCAAATCAAAGATACCACTGACAGGGAAAACCAGTCAGTGTTAATGCGGAAGATATTTGAGAGAGATTATTATAAGGGATTTTGGTCATTCTTACTTCATTTCAGAAAGTTATAGTTTGTAGTATGTATATTCAAAACAATTGGAACTAAATATTAAGCTTTGGAAAGTTTATCTTTAAAAATATGTGGTACTTTTTGTAAAACCAAGTGTAATCTGGAATCCAGATTGCTTTATCGTAATTGATACAGTGAGATATGTGAATCAAGTTATAGCAATGAACATGACACAATTTGGAGGATATAGGCTATATATTGTGCAGACTACATTCATTACAGAAGATTGAAACATTTACTTTTATTGTGGTACTTCGGTTGTGAGGTACAATAACATTTTGTGTAAGACTAAGAATGTGGTAACCGCGTACGTGTGTTTGGATTGAGCTGTGCTTTTTTTTGTCACTTGTGTGAATGACACTAAAGTTAAGTTTGTGGCCAGACATGTTTCTCCCCCATCTAATGTTTCTGAAAACAGATCATATAAGGTGTAAGGTATTTAATAGTAAATTTCCGAAATTGTTGAAATAAAAATGTACAGAGTATGTGAACTAAAACTGATAACTATGCCTTCAAAAATTAGGGACACAAATTTATCCCAGCTATATGGCCCTTTTCACACAGTAGATATCTGTAGGCAATGAAAGGAACAGAAGGTGTCGAGGTTATTAAATGCCGCATACTGAGGAGAAAAAGTTTAATAATGAGGCATTTCTATAATAATTAGGTTACATGATAAAAATTACAACAAAGTATTACTTGCTATGAAGTTCAGAGCTAGGTGAAACATGTTAGTACTGTTTCAAATACTGAAAACAAATTTATGTCAATTATAAGTTTGCTTCAGATTATGACCACAGCTTTGTAGTGTCATTCAGGTATGAGTTCGGTACATCATTTGAATCAGAAATATGTCGACAGCCTCTGGAGTCCCTATTAAAACAAGTTGAGTTGCTGAAAATGGTCACTTCATATATTTGTCCTTATGCTGTGAAAGAATCTTCGCTGATGATTTTGCATCCAAGAATAGTTCCCCAACTTCTTGAATGTCGTCTTTAGCAATAACTGATCGTGCATTTACTTTCGCAGTCAGAGATGATGGTGTTAACAGCTGAACAGCATACCTGGAAAAATCCAAACCAATGTGTGAAATATACCTGGCTGAGTCATCTTGTTTTGGACCATCCTGGTGGTCAGGTGGGCCCCTCTCCACTAAATTGTAATTCTAATGCTTGTTCAATTCATTCTTTATATACTGCCAGAACATTCTAGTAATTTCTCTTCTAATCATATTGAATTATGGATTCCATTTTAAACATTTTGTTTCTAATCCTATCCCCTCTTTCTTCCCCCAGTACTTGTCAAAAACTTAATTTCTATTGTTTGTATTTTGCTTGATGACAGTTCAGGTCTGTTCATAAAATATTTAAATCTTAGGAAGTCCAAAGAAACTTACCGGAGAGTTGTTTTTGTGCCAATATCCCCCAACATACTAAGAGCTTCATCATCAATTTGTATGCCCTCTGTCTGTGCTCGGAGTCTAAGAATTTGTTCCATCTCTGCACGGGAATATGGCAATGTACGGATAATAAGGAGCCTGTCAAGAAGATCCAGAGGTATTCCATGTGGGGAAATAATGTCTTCAGTACCCCTGCAGAACAGCGAGACAAATTTTACAGCAGACAGAACATTTATATGCACTGAATTATATCTACAACTTCACCATTTTCAGCATTAAAGTGACTTGTGTGTCTACTACTACTACTATGGCGTAACAGCCCAAAATCGAGCCCTAGCCTCCTCGGACTTGTGTGTCATCCTGTTCTAATTAACAGCATTGAGCATTCTGAAACTAAAAGGAATATTACCTTATAACACAACGCCCACGATTTGTTGCAAAGATGACAATGGGAGCAATAGCACTCTCCAGAGCCCGGTGAAGGTATGTGAAGGTTTCAATATCCAACATATGAACCTCATCAATGAATAGGACTCCAGGAACCAATTCTGCAATGCCCTGGTCTATATACTTGTTGACCACTTTATTAATTTCCTTCCGTAGTTTGTCTGCCAAAGAATGTATGATTAAGTATCTTGTACACATAAGATATAATGACCCACAGGTATCATTTTAGCTCAGCAGCCCACAGGAAGAAAGAAACGCAGGGTGATGGTAATGTAAATGTTGGAATAGCAGCTCAGACCAATGTTTCTGTATATATTTAACAAGTTCTCAAATTGTAGTAATAAGCAAGCTCTTGTCTAGTCCTTCATTATGCCATCAGCTCGTACTTATGTTGCTGTCTGAATGTCTTTTTATATATCTTTAATTTATTACTATTTCCAAAAATGCTGCGAACTGTTTGTATTGGTATGTGGCAACTATCCAAGCCCATTCTTCAACTAAACTTCTGCAGTACATGTGGAAAATACTATAAAATGAAATTTACTCATACCTGTAATTTCTGTTTTCTTTGGTTTCATTAGCTGTCCCATCATGGACAGGATATCTTGGCCTCCCTGCGGTCTTGCATTAGCAATGTCTAAGTCGTGCAGTGTCACATCTTGGATAACCTCCTTCTTCTTGTGCACATCTCCTTTTGGAAGTGGAACATACTCCTCTGCCTAATTATGTAAACAATTTAACTGGTCTAACTTTACAATGAACATTTGAAATCCATGGTACCATAAAAATATCTTTTCCTTATGAGTTAAAGAAAAAGTTTGGAATTTAAGGTAGGTAGAGAAATTCACAGGTATTAAAATTTATATATAAGGTCTTCTAATTTTCCATACATCAATTTGTAAAATATATTGATGTCACTACAGTAAAATATGCCCTTCATAAGATTATAGCACTTCATGCCATAGAATAATTTTAGTAGTGCAGCCAGCTCTGCATGTTACAGATGTCATTTCACTGATCACACTCCCATCAACATTCACTGAGAGATCCTGAAGGATTTATTGCAGGGAACAGTATGACAAGAGATGAGACCAGGATCCTACTTCAATCCAGAAAGCAACCACCAGTCGGCTCAGTGGATGCACACTGATTCAAGTAGTTGTCAAGTAACTTCTGGTTGTTGACGGTGATATCTGTGTTACATCATCAAATAAATATGCTTAACGGACACATGAACTTACCTCGAGATCAAACTCTGTTGCAAAGGTATCGCTTCGGCCCTGTCGTTTAACAGCGCCACTGTTTGCCTCGATATAAATTACATCACCTGTCTCCACCTTCTCCTTCTGCAGCGATTCATAAATTGATGGATCTAACTTCAGCTGTTTTGTACCTTTCGCTGTCTTAAGTCCAATTATGACATGGCTTATAGTCTTGCCATACCCTATGAGCACAGAACAATTATTAGTCTGTATATCTTGTAAATGACAGCAATTTAACATGGAGGATTTTTTACTTCAGGAACTGTAAATGTAAAGCAACTGTAAAATTCCACGTGTTTAGAGGACATGTAAGTCTCCATGATGTGTGAGGACACTCCATCCTACCAGCCACAATGTTGCTATACACCTGTCCCACAATTTTTGAAGATATATGAAAATATAATTAACCTTCAATGTGCAACTAGTAGTAATTGCAGACAGAATTGTTCAAGGCCCCCCCCCCCCCCCCCCAAACTATAATATAGTATAAGATAAGGCAATTGAAGTTATTCTGTTAAAAGAAATGTGTTATTTTCATGTTTATAAATTAATATTCTTGCCCCAGTTGCCTTCGATACTAGTTTTCCAGATGTAAAGACCAAAGGTAACCTCGCAATAAATATAACCTTTACTTACCTCCCATTGGATTTTCTGTCTCTACAGGTGTTAACTCAGTCACTTCACCTTCATAAACCTCTTTTGTTTCTTTGATTCTTAATCCAATAGCTCGGCGGAAGTTTTCCATTAATACTTCTGTCTTCTTTATTTCAGAACTGTAAACTTCTGAGCCAACCATGGGACAAAATGGAACCTACCAATCAAGTCAACAATGTAAATTGATCCTTGAGAAATATTCATAATGTGAAGACTAAATGTAATACATAAACAGACCGGGTGGGTTCCAGGCCTTTTCTGGTCATAAGAAAATATTGTGGAAATAAAGACTAATTATTCTTCTGTACATTAGTTGTAGGAGCACAACATATAAATCTTGGGTATGCTTTTATGCAGGTTCAAGGGGAAATTAACTTTCAATACCCTGTAATAAAATCTGTACTGTGAACTTATTCAAGACTTGTGCTGTACATATGTACAGGAAAACTACAATAAATTAAAACTTGTCATGAAAGATAATACTAAGATTTTTTTACTTAGAATTAGTGAATAAAGTACAGCTAAAAGAAATACCTCTTTGCAGTGTGGATTTGATGGGAACTGAGATATTGAACAATAAAGGAATCAAGACTATAAGATGAATTGGATTTGATGGGAACTGAGATATTGAATAATAAAGGAATCAAGACTATAGGATGAACTGCAGGATAACTAGCAGTTCAGTTATATCATTTTATTAAAAGCAACTTTAAATATGTAGATACCTTGTTACCCAATTCCTGAGCAATTGCGAGAGCTATTGCTGTTTTTCCAGTTCCTGGTGGTCCTGCTAGAAGACATGCTCGGCCAGCCATTTTCTTGCTTTTAATCATGTCCACTACAATTCCTGCAGCCTTTAAGGAAAATGTATTACTTGCAATAGAAAATTATTATTTCAGCTTAGATTGCTGGGATTAGCCCTATTCATGCCAGAATGGTACCCTCTCCTTTAGAAAAGCCTTTCAAAACTGAATTCGTGGTTAGTGAGTTAGATTTCATCTCTACCTTTTCATTTATGGATACTAAATCAAGTCTTGAAACAGAATGTGTTTTCAACATAAATTAATATATTTTGTCAATTTTCTATAGTTTCACATGAAAAGAAGAAAACGATACTTCAAGCTTTCACAGTGACTGAACTCTATAAAATCTCAGGCAACAAGCTGTGTAAGTTCTGGATCAAAGCCTAATGTTTCGGAGACCAGCTCTGCCTCCGTCATCCCATGATGGAGGCAGAGGTGAGCTTTTGTTCACAACTGACATGGCTTGTTGCACAAGAAGATTCTATCAAGAAGAAAACAACTTTAAAGACTTCTGTAAATGCCTTATGAACTGTCAGCAGTACAAGCTCAATGTGTAACAGTAATATAGTAAAGACTGATTATTACTAGGTAAACATAAAGAAAGCTGTAACACATTGACTGTGTACAGCTGTTTTAAATTTAAGCTGTATTTAGCAAATAATTCTGATCTACTTAACACACTTATTACTTAAACACCTGTTAAATGGAAGTTTATTTAGTTATCAGACCTGAAACAAACCATACTAATCTATTTCACACTTCTAATCTGCCACCAATTTTGGGTTTTATTTCAGGTTAAAAGCTTTCACAAAACCATTTTATACATATTACTTCATGGTCACTGTATTATGATGTATAGGTAAACAACCTATAAGGCACACAGTATAGAAGGGCATGGGATATTTTCTGGAGTATGGGAGAGAACAATGCTGCTTTCATACATACATACACGTAAATAGTGCTGCTGGCATCTTGGTCAATAGGAAATGGTAGGTTAGGATATCAGTTTAATAAACAGCCTGGTCTTAATGCCATTTAATATATGGCAACTTGATATTAACAATTTCTCAGTAGCATTAATCGATGACAACTGAAGTTCTACATCATTCAGTTTGTGTAAGTAACATCGCTACTAACTTCACGTGCTGATTCCTGACCAACTAATCCGGCTGCCATTTGAATTGCTGTCCCACCATCATCCAAACCTAATCCCTTAATATGACTGTGTGCTGAAATCCTTTGAGTTTTGGCTGTACTTTTAACTTCTTCTATCTTCATCTTGAAGACGTCTTTATATATTTAACACAACAATGTTTGACCACAGGTCACCAACGCATTCAAGTAACGCCAAACTGCGTGATCGATGTAAAATAATCGTTACCATCGCAACAGACTTTCGAGAGGTCAAATTAACAAACAATTTCTCGACAAGATGTTACTACAACGATATGAAGAAAAATAATACCAACATAAGAGAGATAATGGATATTATTTGTTGAAAATTGTAAATGGGTTTGTCAAAGTATAAGGAATTTTGTGCTTTGATAATGATTGTAAAGGAATGAAGGCAATGTCCCACGCTGAAGCCTCGAATATCTTGCAGTATTCTCCTTTTAATTCGTCAGTGGATCCAAGTTTTTGGCATAAATTATCGCATGTGAAACTCGACATTGACAGACTGGAAGAAAAAGTTCGTCCTATTTGGGGATATTATTCAAATGCAATTCCTCCTGGATTGACATCGTACCTTCATGTAGACTGCAGTGCATATAACACGTAAGACAGTTATATTCGAATACTGTAAGAATGAAAGACGAGAATTCTGGTAATGTTTAAGGCATACGTTGATAATTTTAAAACCCTCAGGATTTACACATCGCCCTGATGATGGAGGCAGCAAGGACTTTCGAAACCTTGGTAAACTTCTGCCAGACTTTCACATTTAAAATCATTGCATTTCACAGCTACACAACATTCTGTGACATATAATTAAGTAATATTTCAGTTGATTAAAGCATATGTGTGACTGGAGTCCAGTCTTACCAAAGGGCTGTGAGATTTCTCACAGCTGAAACTATAAATAACTCACTGTCATAGGAACCTGAAATCCTACTCTGTATGAAAGTGGCTTTTTCTGGGTTCTACTATGTATTCTTGCAGAAGTTTACTGACATTTTAAAGGTGTATGCTGCACTTCTGGAAAGTCCATAAGTCAGCCATAATATTCTTGGTCAGCTTGTCTGATGGTGGGTTATCTTAATTGTCCAGTTAGATGCTTATCTCCATTAACAGCTTTGTTTCTCCTAACTACATTCCGTATAAATCACCATGTTTATGCCTGTTATCATCAGTTTACAATTTTTCATCATGCCCATTCAATCAAAATTTTAAAAGAAGGAAAGAAGTTGTTAAAGCTAACAGAAACAAAGAAATAAAAATTTTGCAGTTTGTCTCATACATTGATATGAACTGGACAATTTTAAATATGCTTCAATACAGTAAAATGATGCTCATCAGCGAATTTGTCTATGAGATATGTTATTATGTTTGCATCAGTTTATAACTTTCACTTATGAACTATCAAGTGAGATAAGATTTACATAATTGGTATTTTTTACAGGCCATGTTTAAACTCCAGATTGACGTTTGTGCACTGCACTGATTATATGAGAAATTTTAATGTTGAAATATTGTGTTTCAGGGAGTATGAAGTACAAAAACCACTTCTTGCTTCATATGGTATTTTACTTAATAAGAATACACTTGAAGCGTTCAAGAATTGCAATAAAATTGCATTGTTAGAAGAACTTGGCCAAGAGTTGTGGCAGAATATTACTAGTGGAGAAGCACTGAAAAACCCTGCCTTATTATCTCGGTTCTTCTTACTGACATATGCGGTAAATGTAATATCTGTATGCACCATATCAATTACTCTAGTTACTGCCTGTGCAAATGTTTATTCTTTATGCTTCTTTTCAGGATCTTAAAAAGTACCATTTCTACTATTGGTGTGCATTTCCAGCACCAAATTTTCCAACAATAACTTTAAACAAACAGCCATTAAGATTAGCTGATGTTTTCTCAGAAAAGCAGGTAACAAATGAGATATATTAACCTTATTTTAAAGTCTTGAAAGTGAAACACATGATTAAACATGGTTGTGGCACTCAAAATGGTAGAATAGAATGTATTTTATTCCATAGATCCTTCATAGGCCTAAGCCAAGGACATGAAACATATCATACCATAATATAAATATATGGAGTAGAATGAATTCACACAAGTGGACACAAAAACAGTAGCTTATGTTCTACATATTAGTGATTTTTGGCTGGGTTTTTTCAGGTCACAGAACTTGCAAAAGTATACCTGGAAGTAGATGACTGGAGGGAGCGAGGGTACTTTCTTATCAAAGTTGACAGTGATGGTGATTCCAGTTGTATTAGCATTCTTCCATTATGTGATGTAAGGGCGGTGCCTGTAGCTATTCCAGATGGCGAAGATATTAAGAAGACTGAGGGTATTTATGTGGGAGTGGCTGATCCCTGCCCATTACATGATCATCCTGGTTGGCCTCTGAGAAACCTGCTAGCTTTGTTATCTTATCATTGGTATGAATTATAAAACCATTCTTGTATCAAACTTTACAAAATTAGACATTTCCCTCACTTACATATGCTGTAGGGACCAATCCTGACTTAAAATATAGTATTTTATTAAAATTACTGTAACAGATCTCTGCTGAGGAAGTTTAAGTGAAGAAAGTTTTATTTATAACTTCATTTTACTAAGTGGTTAACTTCCTTGTATTATTGTATAAATTGAAGCTTTCACAGCGACTGAAGTTGACCTGACACGGCTTGTAACCTGAGAGTCTTTCATCAATTCCTTGTAGTTGTTTACTAATTTATTTTATCAGAATCTTCTCCACACGATGAAATGTTTAATGCGTAATCCGTGTAATCCAGTCTTTGTCCTTACAGTTCAGAATTAGTGGGATCCAGGTTGAAAGTGTTATGCCTTCGTCTTCGATTGCGGCCCTGCTCTACATGGAGTACAGAAGACAGCCTTATTCTGGAGGTCACATTACCTCCTTCTCCCACCACAGAACCTCCCTCTCCAGAAACATTTCCTCCACATTTTGAGTCTGAAGCCTTAGATTCACCTAATGAATTGACATTTCATGTGAATAACACAGCCCATTCTTCTGGAAATAAGCTAAAATGGGTTGGATGGGAGCGAAATGAAAGAGGGAAGTTTGGTCCAAGAAAGATGAATCTCAGCTCATCTATGGATCCTGTCAAGTGAGCATTATTCCCTTTGTCATTTTATGTAACTAGATGCAGGTAGAATTTATGCATGCTGAACAAGATTGAATTATAATTGCTTGTTTAATGTTATGCTGACTATCCACTAGTTAGTAGGTGTAATTTACTGCCTTATTTCTCAAAAAGGGCATAATTATGATAACAAAGAAATGCGTACATTTGAACCAGTAAATATGCAACATGGTATGCTTCTAATTTTATTGCATTGTTTAAGTAGAGACAGCCTTGTTTAATTTATCAGTATGATTTACATTTACAGAATTTGTGGGCCCTTGTTACCTGTATAAACTTCGTCTACAGCAGTAAGGTAACTGCCCCGCTCCTCGTGTGTAATAGTCTGATACACTTCTTTTTTCAGGTTAGCTGAGACATCTGTAGATTTGAATCTGAAGTTGATGAAATGGCGCTTGATGCCACAGCTGGACCTTGACTTGATAAAAAACAGTCGGTGCTTGCTTCTTGGTTCTGGAACTCTTGGCTGCTCTGTCGCTCGAACACTGTTGGTTTGTTGAATATTATCAGGTGTTGAAGTCAGCAGGCCAGAATATATATTAGTTTAACAGAGTGGTGTTATGTTTTAAAAATAATGTCATCACATGCTGATATATTGTATTGAAAATGTAAATTATATTTTTAAGAGTTGAAACTTTTACAGTAACCGATTGTAGTGAAGTCTTCTCAGGGGATCAGCTGTGTGAGAATGGAGCTATTATCTGATATTTTGGAAACTTCCTCTGCATCCATCATCAGGATTGTCATCAACTCTGTTGATGGCAGCAGGAACATACTCTGAAATGTTGGAACACAACTCTGTTCTTACATGGTTGATCGCCTGAATGTACTGCATTGTAGATTATATTATTTTTCCAGTTGGAACACAACTCTGTTCTTACATGGATGATCGCCTGAATGTACTGCACTGTGGATTATATTATTTTTCCTTAATAATGTGTCTGATATCGTGTATTGTCATTCAGGGTTGGGGAGTTCGTTACATAACATTAGTAGATAATGGCTGTGTTTCCTATTCAAATCCTGTGCGTCAGTCTCTCTTCACGTATAAAGACAGCCTGAACAGTGGACGGCCCAAATCTGAAGCTGCTGCAGATGCATTAAGGGCAATTTTTCCAGGAGTGGTGAGTTGCTCTTTCTGCATGTCCTGTTTACTCTCTTTACTTTGCATTACATTTTAATCAGTTATGTAATATTTTTCCAGTTGTACAGATAAAGCCTTGAGTAAAATTAAAATTAAATCATCCCAGTGAATGTTAACACTTTGAGTATGTATACGTTTGTTTTGTTAGCTCAGTTTTTAGAGAATATTAAAAATGTTGATCTTTGTTGAAGTTCTTTTACTGGTTTTAAACTGTACATATATGTGTTTCTTGCAAGGACATGGGATTTGGTTGTCTTTATTAAGGAAAGACTCTTATGGTGGAAATTTTGCTTACTAACTTGTCATCACCTGTGAGGCATTTAAAGGAAAGCAGACACTTTGTGTTCTTCCTGGAAATCTTACTATCTTGTATATTAATGTATAGTTGTCGTTTAGATGCGAGTATGCAAAGTGAATAATTTAAACTTCTGTGTTTTATACCTGTTTCATAACATGAAGGAATCTCGGGGAGTACAACTTAATATTCCTATGCCGGGTCATCCCATTGGTCCATCTCTGTTGGCTGATACTAAAACTAGCACTCAACTTTTGGAAGAGTTGATAGACAGTCACGATGTATTGTTCCTCCTTATGGACTCCAGGGAGAGTCGTTGGCTTCCCACGCTTATTGCAGCAAGCAAGAGAAAAGTACGATAATTTTATACATAAACCGTAAATGGAAAAT